ATGGATGGATGGATATTAGATTTAGTTTTTTGTAATCAGCAACAGAATTCAAAATTAAGTTATCAGGTTGACTAAAACTGCAAATAATTCTGATCTCTTCTTCCAAATTGACACAGAGCAGAATAAGCATTTGACTGACTCTGTGTGTTCCACATAACTCAAAGCAAAATGTGTAAATTTCAGGCTTTTCCTGGTTTGTGCCTGTTCAAAACCCTCTGTAATGGTTAGCTAAAGAGGCACAGTGACAGGACAGTGAAGGCATGGACACAGTTTTTGATGACGTTGTATCTGTAGTGCAGAATTTTAGGGGAAGAGCAATGAACATAAAAATCATTAGTTACTAAATTTTTGCAGGTAATTTACTGAAAAGTATGCTAATAATTAACTCAAAAATAGAATATTTCACTAGCAGGGACCACATCCTTGGTAATGATGGGCGATGAGGGATGAGGAAGTGTGAATAGTGCTGCGGTTTGGCCTTGAAGGGGACTGGCGACGGCTCTCGGGCCGGGCATGAAAATGAGAACAGCAGGTTTTGGAGAAGGGGGTTTTTATAGCCTGAGGCCAGAGGGGGCGTGAAGGAGGAGTGGTCCCGCTCCTCAAATTCAGATGATATCTCCACTTAGTTGGGCACCTGATATTGCTCAAAGTGTTCCATGTATAGAAAGTTATGTATTTTATTAAAACTGACCCAAAAAGTTTCTGAAGACTAAAATCAATATGATTGACAAGCTCTGAGGCTTCATGTCGCACTCCTAGGTCGTCCTGCCGTTGGTGGATCAGTACTTTAAAAACCACAGGCTGTACTTCTTGTCCACGGCCATCCATCCCATCAGCAGTGGTGGCCATGCCTCTAACAAGGAGAAGGAAATGGTGACCAGGTGAGCATGGCCAGCATTACAGTAAAACGTCAGGCATATTGTTGAAAGGAATAAAACATGAGAATGTCTTATTGCCTAAATATTGAATGTCTGGTCCTATGGGCTCTTTCCTCTGTGTTCCTCTCATTTGATTGCCTCACACTTTTGTCTTCCTCTTTTGTCTTCTTCCACTCTGCCTCTTCTTCTCATCTTCCATTAAATCTTTTCAGTCTTTTCTGCAAACTGGGAGTTCTTGTCAGACATAGGATATCCTTGTTTGGTAAGGACAGTGTAAACATTCGAGTTAACTCCCTAAAGATAAAATATTTGATTTTTAAGCCAATTTTCTTAAAAGATGGAAAACTGCAACTGTGTTTATTAGCTTGCTGTCTGTTTCCTGTTTTTGATGGCACGTTGTGGTTTATCCTGGCATGTTACCAACACATTTAGACTTTTTGAATAGTGGAAACATTTGCAAGTTTATTTTCACTATGCAGCCTTGTGAAAAACTAAGTACACCCCATGATTCAGTTAATTGGAAAAACACCTTTAGCAGCATTGCTGTAGTTTTGGTTTTCTATGTGAGTTTTTCAGTCTCTTATTTTGTTGAGAAAGAGTCCTGGCCCAGTCTCCTTTACAATGTTGTGTCAGTTCTTTAAGATTTGCAGGTATTTATTCATGAATAGCTGTCTCAAGGATTTCAGTTGGCTTCATGTTTGGCACCTTGATTGTTTTCTTTTCAGCAATTCTGTTGTATTTTTGGGCCAAGCTTTAGCAGCCAGACCAAAGGCTTCACATATGAGTCCAGAATACTTAGATATGCAGAGAGGTTCATTGTCAGCTCAGTGACTGCGAGGTGCCCAGCTCCTGTGGCTGCAACACAAGCCCATCACCAATCCCAGAAGTCTTGTGACATCTTTGTTCTTTGTATTCTTTGTTCAGATTGAACTTTACCTAAACCTAAACATGTTGTCATGGTCTTTTTAAAGAGAGGAGGCTTACTCCTTGTTCAATCTATTTCTAACTGTGCTGTCATGAAAGGTAATATTTAACATGCTAACTGAGATGACCAGTCGTCAGTCTGAGCTGTAGCTTATGTCTTTTCAGCAATTCCCCTGAGCACTGTTACAGTCTGAATTTAAGAGTCCTGGGAAGATTATGGCCTGATGTTAACACATCAGGGATCCAGATGAGCAAACTGCAAAAAAAGGGTCACATTTGCTAATTGGCAATAATTGAAGTGCATTTGAAGGACATCTGGCTACTTACCCTGTTAATTCCTGTTGAATTATTACTTGTGTACTCAGTTTTATACAGGACTGCATGGAGTCCTATGGAAACGTTTTTCTGACTGACTGTATTTTGATACATAGCACTTCTACTGCAGTTTACTTTTAAATATATCAGACGGGAGCTTCAT